ACAAATACAGAGCAGTACACAGTTACACACAGAGAGAAACAGACATACTCAGTCGCACACAGGCCCCCGGAGACACAGAACAATGGGCGCATTGTCTGGGTTGGCAGCAGCTGGGGAGGAAGGAGCTGCAGTGTGGACAGAGGAGGCTGTGGGGGCTGCTATGCCGCCTTCCCTCCTCCCACCAGCATCCTAAGCCTCTTCTCTCTTCCAGAAGCCAGATTCTGCTGGGCCCTGGATTTGCTGAGGAATTGGGCTCTAAGACCCCCTCCCCAGCCTCCTGTGATATCTGGTGGGGGTGCAGGGGCCCTCTGTGGATCACCCCCCGGGGCTCTGGGGACTCAAGGTCCTTCAGCCCTGATGCTCCTCCCTCCTCCTGAGCATCATCCAGGGATATGCCTCTGATCTCCACAGGGCAGCATCTGGGAATTGGAATCAGGAGCCCTGGGATCTGCTGTAAGCCCGGACCCCAGCCCTCCAGGAGTCACACGCCAACTCTCTGAGCCCTCCCAGCTGGTGCAGGCAGTGCCTGGCAGCATTGTGGGTTCCCTATTGTGGCTGAGACAAATGCAGGTCACAACAGCCATCCCTTAGTGGCAGTGGGTGGAGGGGTCATTGTACTGTCATCGAGCTGCAGAGTGGGACACAATGTCCCTCCCTGTCCCAAAGCTGGCTCTCCTTGCCCCCCTCTGACCAGGCAGCCCCAGATCTCTTTGGGGATATTCCTCCAGGGAGTTCTTTACACCTCCCAGCCCATTTTATCAGGCCTTTCCAAATTGTTTCTGACTCTCAGCTCCTGGTATCTTCCGTGTGCCCTGGGGCATGTCACTTTCCCTCTCTGAGCCTCAGTGTCCTTGTCTGTAAAATGGTATGAGGGGGGTGGTCGCTAATGAAACTGAGCATACTCTGCAGTCTCTGAGTGGGGGTGGGGATGGAGGCTACAGGAGTGAGTATGAAATGTAGATGCCACCCCAGCCCTCCCCCCGACCTGAGGTCAGATTTGTGGGGAGTTCCCAATTTCTCAGGCCCGGGGGTGTCTCCACACCTCACAGTCTTGGGCCTCCCAAGAGGCCTTACCCGTGGGAGGGAGGGCTGGGGGAGGGGAAAGGAGGGAGGTGCTGTGCTGGCCTGAACACAGCTTTTGCAACACTTTGCTTCCTCCAGCCCCCATCCCCTTCCTCCTGGGGGCTGAGAGGGGCAACAGGACACACATATCCGGGACCAGGACTCTGGGGTTCCCACTGGCCTACCCAGGTCAGGGGAAGAGGAAGTGGCAAGAGGACCAGAGCTGGAGAGGCTCCAGCCACCCCCACCGTGGCCCTGCTTCCTGGCTCCCTCACTCTCAGGCAGGGTGGGAGCCAGGCTGGGCAGCCTTGGGGGCTGTCCTTGAAGGGTTGTCCGCAGGGTAGGGAGAGCCTTGGTGGTGTCTTACCCCGCCTCTTTAGGGCCTGGGGTGTTTTGAGGTATGTTGAGTCCCTCGCTGGGGTTTCTCGGCGTGCACAGAGAGCCCTGAAGTGGTGAAGCACCAGACCTTAGTCAGACAGGTTGTGAGCCTCTCTGAGCCTCAAGCTCCTCAGCTTTCAAGTGGGGATGGAGTTTCCCTTCAAGGTCACAGGACCACTCCCCTCCCCACCTCCAGGGGTCTTTGTAACAAGTCCAGGCCGAGGGCAGGAGCTGCGGGAGAGCTTGTCTGTCCAGGCTGAGCTTGACTGGCCACCGAGGAGGTGAAGAGAGGGACGCGGCAGAGCCCCACCTGCCTGACCAGAGGTGACCCCGAACAGGTCAGAGCCCCCTCAGGCTGGCCGCCGCGGGCAGGCAGGGATGTGGGTGGGACCTCTAAGCGGTCTCCAGGCCAGAGGGGGTTGTGAACGCGGCAGGCAGCCCTGCGGCTTTATGACCACATTTTCTGGAGCATAACTAAGGACCAGCCATCTGACGAGCCTGGGCATGTGAGCCTTTCTAAGAGTTCAAGGGGGCGATTGGCAGGGACTCCCAGAGCAGAACCAAGGGGATGCGAGGCAATGAGGCCACTCCACGGTGCTTGGCGCCCACCGTGAGAGGTGAGCGGTGGGGCGATGGAAAGGCTGATCTCCCTCTTTACTCTAGGACCCACCCCCACCCCCCGCGAACCTCCCCCACTACCCCAGTTCCCTGAAGGACCCGACTCTCTCCTCCCCAGACCCGACACCTGCTCCTGATAGTCGGATGGGGTGGGGGGACCAGACCGCCAGCGTCGCCCACTGCGCAAGTGGGGCTCACGACCTGACCCCGCCTCCGCCCCTCGATTGGGCGGTCATTTAAATGCCCGGTCCCGCCCCCGAGCTCGAGGCGCTTATATAGGCAGCTCCGCGGGCGGCGGGCGGCATTCCGGCGCCGAGAAGAGGAGAGGCGGGTGTGGCTAGAGGGTCGCGCGCGGAGCGGGGGTGCAGCTCTGTTTTCCCCCCGATACCCCTCCCCCTCAGGCACGAGCCCCACCCCTCCGCCGGCCGGGCAGACCCAGCCGAACTATCCCCTGCGGCGTGAGCCCGGGGCGGCTCTGGGCGCCCCCAGCAGACCCCCACCATGGGTAGCCAGAGCTCTAAGGCTCCCCGGGGCGACGTGAACGCCGAGGAGGCAGCAGGCGCTTCCCCCGCCAAGGCCAACGGACAGGTGGGTGCGCTCGGCACGGCCCGATTCGGCCCCTTCCTCTCGCACTTCGCCCCTCTAGGGCCCTGGGCCGGGGCCGCGCGCTTTGTCCGGCCCGGGACACGCGGCGCCCCCTCCCCCTCCCGGTCCCTTTGTTCTCGGCGCCGCAGCCCCCGCGGGCGAAGCAAGGGGAGGGGCGGGGAGGGGGCGCTGGCCGGGCCCCGCCACCTTCTTTGTTCCCGGCCCCGGCCCCATGAGCTGCCCCCCGGCCGCCGTGAGTGCCGCGCGGGGAACAAAGGCGCTGCTGGGCCGTGCCAAGGGGGCGCCCAGGGACCGTGGGGCGGGTGCCTGGCGGGGAGGGCACCCCACCCGCAGATCTGACCTCGGTGGCCCACGGTTTTTTTTTTTTTTGTTTTTTTTTTTTTTAGGGGGAGTCGGGATGTGAGGAGAGCCTGAGGTGGGTGGGGGGCCGTTTGCACAAAGCAGGAGGCTGGGAGAACAGGCCGTCCAGGTACATTGAAACAGCGCCCGCGGCGGCTTCCCGCCCAATACCGCCTGGCTTGGCTGGCTCGCCCGCCTGCCCGGGATCCGCGGCCCCGGGCCGTTCCGAACGCGCGGAATAGAGAACGCGCCCCGGGGGAGGGGTGGGGGGCCACCGGACCCCAGCGCCTCCTGCCGGCCGTAGCCTCTGCGCGCTCGGTTCCATCGCGCCTTAAGGGGGGCGGGAGGGAGATGTTTGACGGGATCTCCGGTGTGGGGTGAGGCTAAAGCCAGACTTTCGGGTGGCAGTAGAATCGAGTCGGAGACCTGGTTATCTGGAAGGGCCCAGGAGCGGGCTGGGGGAGGGGAAAAGAGCCCCCGCCCTCATTGCTGTCTCCTCTGCCCTGCAGGAGAACGGCCACGTGAAAAGCAATGGAGACTTATCCCCCAAGGGTGAAGGGGAGTCGTCCCCCGTGAACGGAACAGATGAGGCAGCCGGGGCTACCGGTGATGCCATCGAGCCAGCACCCCCCACCCAGGGCGCTGAGGCCAAGGGGGAGGCCCCTCCCAAGGAGACCCCCAAGAAGAAGAAGAAATTCTCTTTCAAGAAGCCTTTCAAATTGAGCGGCCTGTCCTTCAAGAGAAATCGGAAGGAGGGTGGGGGTGATTCCTCTGCCTCTTCACCCACAGAGGAAGAGCAGGAGCAGGGGGAGATTGGTGCCTGCAGCGACCAGGGCACTGCCCAGGAAGGCAAGGCTGTTGCCACCCCTGAGAGCCAAGAGCCCCAGGCCAAGGGGGCAGAGGCTAGTGCTGCCTCCAAGGGAGGAGACACAGAAGAGGAGGCAGGGCCCCAGGCTGCAGAGCCGTCCACTCCCTCGGGGCCGGAAAGTGGCCCTACACCGGCCAGCGAGCAAAATGAGTAGCTGGGTGGGGGCAGGTGGGTGATCTCTAAGCTGCAAAAACTGTGCTGTCCTTGTGAGGTCACTGCCTGGACCTGGTGCCTGGCTGCCTTCCTGTGCCCAGAAAGGAAGGGGCTGTTGCCCCCTCCCAGCCACGTCCCCTCTCCTCTCCCTCCTGTGGATTCTCCCATCATCGGTTTGGTCTTCCTCCTCCGGAGGCCAGTTGAAGATGGTCCCTGTTTCCCAAGTTAGGTTAGTGATGTGAAATGCTCCTGCCCCTACCTCCTTCCCTGTCCCCACCCCTGCAGAAAGCAGTTGCTGGTTTTCTTCCCCAATTCTTTTCCAAGTAGGTTTTGTTTACCCTGCTCCCTAAATCCCTGAGCCAGAAGTGGGGTGCCTGTACTCCCAAACCCTGAGTATCCAGCCTTCCCTCTGTTGAGTTTTTAGTCTCTTGTGGTGTGCCTAGTGGCCCCTGGGCTGGGGAGGACACTGCCCTTGTCTAGGTTTTTATAAACGTCTTACTAAGTTCAAACCTCCAGCTTGTGAATCAGTTGTGTCTCTTTTTTGACTTGGTAAGCAAGTATTAGCCTTTGGGGGTGGGGGGAGGTCTGTAATGTGAAACAACTTCTTGTTCTTTTTTTTCTCTCCCTCTTGTTGTAAATAACTTTTAATGGCCAAACCCCAGATTTGTGTTTTTGTTTTTTTTTCTAACTGCTAAAACCATTTTCTTCCATCTGGTTTTACTGTAACATTTGGAAAAGGAATAAATGTTGTCCCTTTAGTGGTGCTTTTTAATGAGCGGTCTTCTGGGGTTAGGGTGAGAAGGTTGGTGGAAATTAACCTCAAACCTCGAGGGAGGAATTAAGAGAGGTAAGTTTGTGGGACTTTTTTGTTGAGGATTGCTCAGGCCCTCATGGACACCAGAAGGGCAGGAAAGTAGCGTCTCTCTCAATCATCAACCCTAGGGCACTACTAGGAAACAGAAGCTCGGGAGAGTAGAGAAATGTACCATTTTATTACAAAGATTCTCACAAACAGGAAAATAGTATCTCAAAAAGGAAACTAGACTATCCACCTCCACCTGCAGAACTGGGGAGGACGGAGGGCAGGCAGTGAGAGTTTCTTGGCTCACTTGGGGCCAGGCTGCAACAGTGGGAAGGTATGAGAAAGGAACCAATCTAAAAATGGCTGATGTTACCTTAAGGAGCCTGAAAAGAACAAGGGGTCCCTGAAGGCCCAGCCACCCCTCTAGAATGCTCAATAAGGATACCTTTCCAAAGGTACTAAGCAGGCATTCTGCATTTCAGAATTTAGTCCCGTGACTGGTGACTGCTTGAAATCATCCTTTCCACCCAGACCGGGCAATCTATGGTTCAAAACAACTGGGGGGGAGAGGTAAGGCAGCTACTATAAGAGTTTACCCAGAAGAGCTGCCCTGGGCTAGGCTCAGGGCCCTGGTTCCTGTCTAGTCCCTAGGGATATTTATATTTAATATACTTTTATATAAATACACAGAGAAATAGAAAATATAAACTCTGAGGGGTTAGGGGAGAAATGTGGGGAACTCTGCAAGAAGCCAGAGCTGGAGAGGTCTGCTCAGGCCAGCTTGACCTCCTCCTTGACCCTGTGGAGAGAGCAAAGACTGGCATGAGATAACCCACCCTAGAGGCCTTGAGGCAAAGGTGCAATGACTTCCACAGCACCAAGGCTGCCCAAGTGATTGCTGGGGGCTGGGGCTTCCCGGTTTTGCCTAGAACAGCATGGACAGACTGGTCCCTGAAAGAGGTCTTTGTAAACTGGACCAACTGTCCCTGCACCTCTCAGAGTGGGACAAAGGGGCTGGTGCTCCAGTGCCAGGGAGATAGTGGACCACTCCCTCCTCACCCTTTGGTTTCAGGCTTCTCCTCCTTGGTTTTCTCCTCTTCTGTGACTTCTAGAACACAAGAGTGCCAGGAATAGCCAAGGGCAGACCCCCTGGAAAGACCTATGGGGTCTTTCTTCACTTATCTAAAACCCCTTCCCCAACACTACTCCCTCCCGGACATACAAAAGAGAGAAAAGCTCATCCTAGGCCCTCCCAGTGAGCCCTGTTGAGAACAAACAGGTTGGACCGGTTTTCCAACCTGCTAGAGCCTGAACCCGGTGGGCGGAGGCAGCCCCCTGGGAAAGGGCTTGAGTGGTATGTGAGAGCCAAGCTCCTGACCACGGAGAGCCCAAGCCTGCCAGTCCCTGGCCCTGAAGCCTGGAAGGGCTCAGGCAGTGGAAATGAGTCAAGTTTCATTCTTTTGTGGGCCCTGCCACTTCTAGGAGCTACTGAAAGGCCCAAGGAGCTGGCAGGGCCTGAGTCAGCTTCCCCCTCCCAGTGTCCTACATAGATTCATCCTCCAGAGCCCAGGGATCAAGACCTAAGTCCTGGCCCAACCCAACCCACCTTTCTTCTCTTCTGGGTCTTTCTCTTTTTCATCCTCTGTTTTGACTCTCTTGGCTTTTTTGAAGTTGGAAGAGTTCTTGCGGCCACCCTCTCCCTCCTCATCAGAGTCAGAGAACTCTTCTTCACAAGCAATTCGTTTGTCAGAGGAACAGACTGGGAGACAGTGGAAGGGTATGAGTAAGGGAGCAGGAGATTCTTTACATCAGGGTCTGTGCCTATTTGCTTCCAAGAGACACTAAGAGAAGGAGGGGGAGGGAATGCGTACTCCCTAATCTGTTCTACAGGTACTGGACACAAGAAACATGGGCTTCTCAACAGGCAGGTAGCCTGGGGAAATGTGGAACTAGGAAGGGTGAAGGGTGCCTATTAAGTGGGAAGGTACAGGCCCCAGGCCTGGGTCTTACTCGAGATGCGTTTGTCAGGGTCCTCTTCATCCTCATCACCGCTTTCCTCTGGGATGGCATCCTCAGGAATTGCCTGCATTTGGACCCCAGGTGCATGGGGCAACATTCTCAGGTTCTCAAATAGTCTCTGTCTGTGGCAAATGGGAGAGAGGGTGGCTAGGCTCAGGGACATACCAGCACCTGGAATGTTCAACCAAGGGGAGGTTAGGGAGTATACTCACTTGATCTTCTCTAAGTACTCATTAGTGTTCTGGTTGGTCATATTGGAAGGACTGATGTGAAGTTTGAAATCTGGTCCAAAGTATTCAAAGTAGTCATTGTATGGAAGCTCTGAGGGGGCATGGAAGAAGAGAGTCAAGAGACCAGGCGAGTTTTCAACCGTGGCACCCTGAGCGAATCATTTGTAGGTTTCTAAGGACCTGTTTGCCCATCTATTGAATGCGGAGAAGACTGCCTACGAGACAGGGTGAGTATGGAATTGCAACCTTTTTAATGCTATTCTCTTGAATCTACGCCAGTTAGATGGAGAGGGAGAGAGAGAGATACCCCTACTATGAGGAGAAAGCCCAAACCCCACGTGGCCCCAAGTTTAAAAACTTTAAGCATTCTCACTGTGAGCACTCCCTTCACTCCTTACTTACCCCAGTTACCCTACAGAGTTAGAGAAATTCCAAAGCTGTAAATAATCACTGATAACTCTGTCCAGACCAGAAGCAGGGAGAGCGGAGAGAATCAAAAGGGACTAGGGAGGAACTGACGGCTATGGTCCCTCAATCGCAAGAGGTCAGAAGAATAAATGGCTTAGTATCAGAAGAGAGGAGGACCTATGACCAAACAAGGAAGGGGTTGCGAAGCTTGAAGGCGCATCAGCTCGAGCTCTGTCCAGCCTAACCTTGCCCTGGAGCTATTACCGTTAGGGATATCTGTGCTCAGGGCCACAGCTGTTTCATACGTCCAGCATCGCGCGACATTACGAATGGTGTAGCCACCTCCTCCCAGCATCAGCATCGGCAGGTTGAAATTCCTCACAAATTCCACACACTTGGCATGCCCTTTGGTGGAAGAAAGGGTGCTAGATTAAAGGAGAACTCAGCAGGACCCTGCCCACTCATCCCTGTGCTATTTGGTCTCACCTTTGATGGTCAGATTGAAACAACCTAATCGATCCCCAGATAGGGAGTCGGAGCCACACTGTAAGACGACTGCACTAGGCTGGAACATCTCCATTACTTTGGATATGACCTGAAAGGACACATCCTGGTCACCACTAGCCTCAAGAAAAGCTATGAGAGGTACAGGGGTGGAAAGGGTGGGTGCAACACTTTCTTCTGTTCCTTTCACCTTTCTGGGGTTCTCATTAACCCACTTTCGATTTCAGTTTCCCAGTTTGAAAAGATCTCTAAGATCATTCTGGTTTTAACAACTCTTAACCTAGAATGGCGTCCTTGTTACCTCTCTAAATTTTTCCCTTCTTTCACCATCCAAGCTTCAGTGCCACTTCCTCTGGGAAGCTTTCCACACCCTTAGCTGCGTCTGCTCTACTCATTTGGCCCTACAGACTTTTTATGGTTTGTATTCTGTTTATGCTATGTATTAGGGCTTCTAGCATTGTCCCTATTTTTTCTTCCATGATCTTTATCATTTTAGATTTTATATTTAGGTCTTTCATCCATTTTGAGTTAGTTTTTGTGCATGGTGTGAGGTATAGTCTTGTTTCAGTTTTTTGCAGATCCTACAGACTTTTGAGCCTTACACTGTAAAGAAGCACTTCACTTTTACCTATCTTATTCTCACAACTAGATTTTAACTTTACAGAGGAAAAAGATCATAACTAGGCTTCTCTGTCACTCTTACTGTTGGACACATAGTAGACAGTTGGTGTTTGCTGAATGACCACTTGACCTCATTAGGTTAATACTCTATGCTGTTCCCTCTGCTGAATGCCACCCCTCCAGCCCCCACCTCCTTCACATGGGTAACTCTTCATTTTTCAAAGTCCAGCTCAAATATCACCACCTCTGTGAAACCATCCCTGACAACCCTCTCCCCACCCCAGGAAGCAGTGTGTCTCCTGCTCCTCTATCTATCCTTCAGAGAGGATTGACCATACACTGTTAGGTATGTGTCTACCTCTCCCACCATAGACTGTGAAGTCTCCAAGGGCAAAGATATCTTAGACATTATTGTACCTAGCAGAGTGCCTGGCTCATGGAAAACATCGACAAATATTTGGGATAAATTTTGTTCCCCTAACTGACCACATGGCATGCAACCCAGGGCTGAAACACACCTCATTTCCAACAGCCTCTACAGTGCAGAGAGACCTCTGAGATATGATGGGGGGCTTTGATACTCCTCCTCGAGACCAATCCCATTTGTACCCCAAGGGATGGACAAGTCACTTACCGGCCTGAAAATGGCCTCATAGGACTCATCATCAATTCCATCTCGGAGCGGGTAGTTAACTGCATAATACTTGCCTTTGCCAGCGCCAATATCCTAATCAAGAGGGACATTGAAGTAAAACTGAAAGATAAAGCTGGGAAGAAGTTCAAGGACAGGGGCTGGAAAGCTAAGGAAAGAGGCAGTGGTTCTAAGAGAGACAAGCGGGGCCCATGAGGGGGACTGGGGACAGAGCAGGGGTCACTTGGTCAGTATCACTCCCATCACTGGCAAGTCTAGTTCTCTTCACATCTCTGGATACACCACTGAGCCTGCACCCAGGCTGACAGCTGTTTACGGGCCAGATACTGAATATCCTACCCCACAGCACAAGATTTCTACCTTCAGATTGGGTTAGAGCTTTCTGGTGGCTAGGTCACAGAAATAACCGGCTCCCCCACCCCCACCCCCACAACAATCCTTTCCTCTCCAGAGAAATTTATTGCTCACCCTTCTACCCCCTCTTCTCTCCTCTCTAGGGAAAGGTAGAGGGGAAGCAGAGAGGGAAGAAGAGCTCTTCCAACTGACTTCAAAACTGTAAATGCTCAGTTACTCTAATGCTTGCCATAGCAAACAACTGAGTTAGTACCACTTTTTTACCCAAGGGCTACTGACACAGCAAAATGGCTGGTTTCACTGTATTCATGCTAATGGAAGCAGATGGAACAGTTCAATGAATTAGCTTCCATGGATTCTTATTCCGAGGTCCACGGATGGACTTTGGTAAGAGGATGTGGCTATTAACCCTTCAGTAATATATGCAAAATTTTGTGTACTTTTCTGGGGCCAGTCCATAGCTTTCAGTCAGGTGGTCCAAGGGAAAGGTGACCTAAAAATGTTAAGAACCCTTGATAGGATCCATAAAGGTCCAAATTCCTAGCCATGGAAGATAACTTGATGTTTCTATCCTAAAATTCAAACCTTATGGGACAGCTGAATAGAGCAACCCAGCTGTGGCCAGGTACAATGAGTCAGGAGACCATACCTCACTCCCCTACCCTTTATGTCCCATCACTCCCTTCCCCCAGAATAAGGGAGGGAAAGATACCATAGCTGGTGGCAGGTGCCCCAGGCTAGGGTATGGTGTTCTGAAGCAAAAGAGGCAGGAAGTGGTTTTTAGTGATACGAGATAGGAGAGTTAGAGCTGGCAGCTGAGGGTGAGCTGGTTGGTCCCTGAAGGGAGTTCTCACCCGTAAGTCCCCTGTTCCTGGGAAGTACTCTCCATACTTATGAAAGGACACAGTCATGACCCGGTCTGTGGTATAGAAGGCCTCTTCCACGCCATCACCGTGGTGAATATCAATGTCAATATACAGCACCCTCTGGTGATACCTAGGATCAGAAGGGGGTCAGGGGTCTGGGGGCTCTTTGGGGATGGGACGCGCCAAGGGCGCCAGGTCCCAGCTTACCGGGCTGGCTGCCTCCCTCAGGTATCTCTAAGCACCAGAGACGTGGAAACTGGCTGAAGGAAGGTGGAAGAGCGGCCGGGTGTCTCCAGAGGCCTGACCAAGCCGACCAAGTCCGATCTTCCTACTCTACAGCCAGGGTCAACTCCGGCCACACAGGGACACTCTGGAGGCAGGATCTGAGCAGTCCTGCCCCTGATCTTGCCGTGGGGCTCAGATCAAACCAAGACCCCGTCAAAGAGAGGATGGCCAGAGACACTCAAACACATCCTAGCCAGCACACCGCTAGGAAAAGCAAACTAGGGAGGCAAGCCCAGGGGAAGAGGGAAGTGGGAACCTGGCCTAAGGTGCTCTTCCAAGAGACAAGGCCAAGAAGGCATACTTTAGCAGTTCCAGGATGGCCAAGACGATATCATTGACGTAACAGAAGCCAGATGCCTCGGACTTCTTTGCATGGTGCAGGCCCCCAGCCCAATTCACAGCGATGTCCGTCTGCTGCTTATTAAGTTTCACAGCACTTGCTGGGCATGGGAAGAGAGAACATAAACCCGTTACTAAGCCACTCTCTCCACCCCCTATGAAACTCAAGGAATCCAGGTAAAGGTATTGCACAATTCACAAGCCAGCTCCTTCCCTCCCACCCTTTTCCAACAGGAAGTGAACATGATATTGGCTACTCTTCAAAAACTGTTTTTTCAAACTGAGGATGGTAACTCCTTAGTAGGCCTTAACATTGATTTAGTGGGTTATGATTAATATTATATTTTTAAATGACACAAATGAGAATAAAAATATCAGAGTAACAGTAATGATAACTACTCTCTTGTGAAACTTTGACTTCAGATAAAGAGTATGTGTGTGTATCCTGGACTGCATGTGTAAATGTATTTACTACTGTGGTTCACGGTTAACAAATTCTGAAAAGATACGAAAGGTAGTGCTGGCTCCAAGTACAAGTAGGTCCAAGAAGAACTACGAGAGAACTACACACGTATGTGTGCAAGCGCATTTGTGGCAGTGTAACTTTAACGCACCAAGAACATGAACAAATCAAATTATCCAACCACAACAAAAAAAATTAATTGCCATCAAGTCGATTCCAACTCATGGTGACCCCATGTGTTACAGAGTAGAACTGAGCTTCATAGGGTTTTGGGGTGTAATCTTTACAGAAGCAGATCGCCAGGTCTTTTTTCCATGGCACCACTGGGTGGGTTCAAACCACCAACCCTTAGTTTAGTAGTCAAGTGCAAACCATTTGTGCCACGAAGGGACCTTATCTGACAACAGGCGACCAATTATATCAACTGAATTAGATCCATAAAATAGAATAATCATGCATGCAGCCATTAGAAATCATGCTGTAGAAGGATACTAGAAATTTTAAAGATTCACTAAGTAAAATATGTAGACACAAAAGTATATATATAATGTGAAATATTTTTGTAAAATATAGATATTACATACATGTAATGCCCACATATATATACATAGAAAAAAGAGTGGAAGTATAAATACGAAAATGGTAACAGTGTTTATCCATGAGCAGTATGATTGTGGGTGCTATTGATTTTTTTTCTTTGCACTTCTGTTTTCCAAGATTATATCGGGCGGGGAGGGGGATACAACAACCTAGGTAAATATTCGTTAAGAAAGGGTTCAGAGTAATGAGAAGTAACCCAGGAGTTATTAATGGAAGTGGGAGATATGTGGGGAGTATTTCTGACCTCTAAAGGTAATTACTATGCTCTTTCATAAGACAGAAATGATGACACTTCCCATTTTTATGGCACTTTGCAGTTCACAAATTGCTTTCGTGTAGAGCATCTCAACAACCCCATGAGGTCTTCGGGGAATCCCTCTATATAAGATCTCTTGGTGGGGGAGGACAGTCAATGACACTCAGTACCATGAAGAGACTGAACCTGGGCTGAACTAAACCAGAAGGACATTTTAGAGACCTAAGGTAAAAACCCAAAAGGCCATTCTACATGGTCACATATCAGCCCAACCAGGATAGCGGGGAGGGGATGTATATTCCTTACCCACAGAGCCACCAGTAGATAACTGACAGAACTCAAACAGGCCATCAAATACTGGACAGTCCTCACCAACGTTGACTTGAAAGAAAGAGGTGAAAGGTTAGTCTCCACAACTTCCTTTAGCTGTCATTTAGATAGTTATGAGCTGATGGAAAAAATATAGAATTTAGATTCAGAAGGCTTGGGTTCTAGTCCAGACTCTACTACTCACTGGCTGTGTGACTGGGTCAAATCATTTAACTTCTTTAAGGTTTAGGCCACAAGCAGTAATGATACCTACCTCATCCAACTGTTGTAAAGATTAACAGAAATCTTATATGAGGAAGCACTTAGCAAGTACTTAGAAAATGTTAGTTCATTCCTTGAAGGAGGAAAATTTAGCTGCTTCTTCTAGTCTGAATTTGTTCCTGGACCTCTCTCCAGCTGACCAACAAGGAAGTGAAGGATTTATGTAACTATCACTTGCTGAACACTTACAATGTGCCAGGCACTGTGCTAAATGCTTTAAATATCTGGTCTCATTTATCCTCACACAACCTTCTTTGGTCCCATTTTATAAATGGAGAATCAGGCTCAGAGAGGTGAACTTCTAGTAGTGCTAGAATGCTCTTTCTATAATATTCACAAGTGACAACTGGAGTAAAGTTATTTCAAGCCTAAAGGAGTAAAAGTACAAACTAGAACGTAATGAGGAAATACATGTAAACAATAATGCAAATTAAATGAAAAAGAAGGGAAGAGAAGCACACCTGGAGGTTGTAACTAGCAGAGTGAGAGGGGAACCTCATGGCTCCAGGTCTCACAGAAAAGGAAGCTGCTAAGACATCAATGATACACAGGAAGTCAGAGGCAGGAGTGGGGCTTGATCCTTATTCTCTTGCCTCAGTCTTCCCATAACACCCTGCTGTTGTCAACAGAGGTTCCCAAAGTAGAGCAAGGAGAAGCCCTGGTATGAGGGGCTTTAGGACAGCCTAGCTTACATAGTGGTGGTAACTTCTTGAGATACAGCTGAAACCCAAAAGCTTGCTTTAACCACAAGAGCTACCAATTCTGGCATTGCCCTACACTTAAAGGGTGCCCTGCCAAGACAGGTACTCTGAGGAAGCATGGCCCACATAAGGGAGTGAGCAGTGAGTGGCTCTCTCCCTGACTTCTGGGGTAAACACTGGGAGGCTGTGTCAATAAGAACTTTGGTCCCTGGGGCCAGGCTATTTAGCCATTGGCAACTGATCTTCCCCTCTGGCTGCTTCCTCCTTCAGTGCGTTTGGCATGCCTGGGTTTCCAAAGCTTTGACTCAACTACCATTTGGGATGTGGAGCCCCCATGGGAGGGAATAGGTGTTTTAGACATGAGAAAAAATATTTTCCTTCAGGCCCCAAGCCATTATGTGGCCCATACAGCAAGCTCATTTGTTCCCAGCACAACAAGCTATGGGTTAGAAATAGATAAAGGGAAAAATGAGAGAGCAGACCCTTACTTGGGCTAATCTGTGAGGCTAGGGAGGACTTTTCTGTGGGCTTCCCCTCTTTTCTCATTCTTAAGCTGGCTTTCCACTGAAAGGGAGCGATATGAAATGAGAGATGGAGGAGGAGGGGTGGATAAGGCAGTAAGTAAAAAGCATAATGCACAAGGAAATGCATGGGCTTAACCACTGACTTCAGGACAGTGCTCCCCTTGGTCGTGGTGGTAATGGGAGGGGGGCAGTAGGAAAGAAGGGGTATGTGATCAAGGAGAGCTTCCCAGAAGGGCTTCATCTGCACTGGTAATATTTTCTTAAGCTGGGTAGTGAGTACATGGATGTTCATACTTTTCATACTTTTTGTGTGTGTCTGAAATATTTTATAATGTTAACATTTTTGTAATCTACAGTGCCCAGAATCAGGAGACTAGAATTCCAGTTTCCATTCTACCACCACCTTGCTGTGTGATCCTAGAAAAGTCACTTCACCTCCCCAGATCTCCCTTTATACACCTACAAAACGGAGGAGAACTTCTCAAACTTTTTACCACTATAAATCCCTACTATCATGTTTCCATCATGAGCCCATGTTTTCATAGATTATCTACACCCAAAATTACATTTATTCATGCTTCCATTTTCACTAATTAAATGCTCGGTCAGAATTGCTTATCACAATTCCCAAAGTGACCACAAAGAGTTTATTAAATTCCAGCCAAGAGCAAGGAAATCTAACTTAGTCTTATCACAGGTATAGCTTCCTAACTTAGGTGACAGTAAATATTTTTAAAAAGAGCTCTTATTTTCCCATTACTGTTTCTGCAGATCCCTCCCCCAAGTTATAAAGCACTGTATTAAGTGACATCTGATGTCCTTGCCTGCTCTCTCTATAACTCTTTGAATCAAGTTAATAAAGTGCCTTGAAGTCCTTAGAGAGAGCCTCATCCTTCCTACCCCTATCTCCAATAAAAGAAAATTTCAGACCTAATTTTTTTATGCACAACTTTAGAATGCTGGTTTCAGGAAAACTGGAGCAAACTAGGAGCCAAACCTGTATACTACTCCTAAGGGCCTAATACTTTGTCTGCCTTGACAGATTTGCAAATAACAAAAATAGTAAGTCATGATAGCAGAGGTTACTATTCATTGAGGGTAGGTGCTTTGTACATACATTATCTGAATTATCCTCCTAACCCCCCACTGTGAAATAGGTACTATTGTCTCCCTTTTAAAGAAGAGAAGACGAGGCTCAGAGAAGCTAGCAGACTTCCTTAAGATCACACAGCTAAATGGCAGAGCTGGGGAATTCAAACCAAGACACCAAAGCTCACTTTCCTGCTGCAATACCAAGCTGCTTCTCTAATGAGAGCCCTCTCCGCTGAGAGCAGAGCCTGATTCCTGGCCTAAATGGGTATGGAAGCCCAAAAGCCATCTAGAGCAAAAGAATGAGTGTGCCACAACATGGAAGGAAAAAAAGACCGTGCCAGTTCAGAGAGAAAACATCTCACCCAGAGAGAGCAGCAGCTCCTGGAGTTGTGGGTGGCAAAGCAACTTAATGCAGTAACTTCAAGGAAGGTCTCCATGGTTCTGCCACTGTTACAACTGCACAGTTATTATAACAAAAAAATAACTTTCTGCCTTGAGAATCAGACCTTGGCCAGTATCAATAAACAGCTGCCACAGGTTTCCTGATATTTTCAAGTTAGGCTGTATAAACTAATCAAAATCTCTTCCAGACAATGCTGTTACAGATGTTTTATGCACAAGGTCTTATACGCTAAGAGATAATTTCTAAAATAACACAAGGGAGAAGTCAAGTATGATAGTTTCTTCCCAAATGTGAACAAAAATTCTTCCACAGCTAAAATAATCCCCACAATTCCTACAAACTGAGTGTGGTTTCTGAGATGGGACCTGTTCTGGAGTTTCAGTCCCAGGGGCAGGGGTAGAATCACCTCATCCCAAAGACTACATCATTTCTAGTCTGTCCAAGTGGACTCTAAATTCTCAATACTCACAAAAGAAAAATCTGCGGGGAAGTGACTTGCTCAATCAGTTAAAAGCAGAGCTGTGACATACATCTCCGCTCTCTGCCTCCCGGGTCAGTGCTTCTTCCTTGACAACAATTACAGTATTCTTGGGATAGTGTTGTGAACTTAATTGGAAAAATTCCAACCCCTGCTCTTTATAATCAGGAAAGAAGGAAAACCAGACTTGAGAAAAAAGAATCACTTTGACACCTATGAAAGGCAGAGGAAATCAGGTGTCAGTTGAAGGGGAAGTACAAGGGATGGCAGGGTGGGCCTCTCCGACTGAGCAGAGATCCAAATGAGGCCGTGAGAATAGGGAGGTAGCAGAACGGACTTACATCTTTGCATCTGCTTGCTGTACTCGGACATGTTGTCTGGGCGGATGGAGCGCAAGAATTTAATGTAGTCATCACTGTGGTACTTGGTCATCTCCTCAGCATTGGCTTTGTGAGGGCGCTAGAGGGCAGAGGGGAGAAAGGGCATGTTATTCTTAACTACTGCCAGTCTTCACTCAGTCTATTTTGAACACTTATTTTCTGCCCAGCACTGAGCTAGGTGCTGTAAAGGATAGAAAGAAATAACTGATCAGATTTAGGCCTCAAGGAAATTACCATCTAGGAAAACAAGATTATCAAAGGATATTTGGTATCAGAATACCTGAACTGCAGCTCAAGCTCTGTTGCTTGGGCAAGTCATTATCTCTTGGGCCTCAATTTCCTCGTTTACTAAAGAGGGATAACCATATCTATCTCACAGGGAAGTTGTGAGATTAGATGAAATTGTTTAATCACTTTTTAAATTGTAAAGCATTTAAAAACTGTAACTTATTATTGACAATTGAAATAGATGGGAAATCCTTTATAAATTATCACATCAACAATCCTGATTAATCACATTCTCCCCACTAAAACTTCCTTGGCATGGTAATTTCCCGGTCAGCCTAACATTCCTACTCCTCATTCCCTCTTTTTTTCTTTAATTCAACTTTTCCTCCCATCCTTTAAATGTAGGTCATCTTAAAAAAATAACCCTTTTCTCTGATTATCAATACTTTATACTTTATAACCACCACCCATCTGTTTGTCATACTACGGTGGCTTGTGTCTTGCTATGATGATGGAAGCTATGCTACTGGTATTTCAGATATCAACAGAGTCATCCATGGTAGACGGTTTCAGTGGAGCTTCCAGACTAAGACAGACTAGGAAGAAAGGCCTAGTGATTTATTTCCAAAAGTAAACCAGTGAAAACCCTGTGGATCACAATAGAATATTGTCAATACAGTGCTAGAAGATGAGCCCCCTAGGTTGGAAGGCACTCAAAATACACGGTGGCCACAACAATGGACTCGAGCATACCAACGACTGTACCGACAATCATGAAGATGGCGCAGGACTAGGAAACATTTTGTTCTGTTGTATGAGGTCGCCATGAGTCGGAACCAACTCAAAAGACAACTAACAACAACAACATACTTTATAAAGCATTTTCATATACACGGTTAACATTTATTGAGTGCTTACTCTGTGCCAGGCACTGTTCCAGGCATTTTATATGCTATCTCATCATCCTCACAAAAACCTTTCAAAGTTCATACATTATTAGCCTCACTTTGCAGTGAGGAAACTGTGGCAGACAGAAGCTAAGTAATTTGCCCAAGGTTACACAGCTAATAAACTGGAATAGAAACCTAGAGGTCTGGCTCTCGGCACTATTTTGATTCCCACTTAATTGAATGAGGAATATAAGACTGAAAGAGGGATACTGTCTTAACAAAAACACCCGTAAGTGAAAGATCCATGACTTGACTCTAAATACCAACTTCTTTTTACTATATCAACCCCGTTACCCTCTCCCTCTTGGCAATCTCATCAAAGCTTCGCTTTAGCTATCTCCTCTAGACTGCCCAAACCCTTAACTCCATCTTGATCTCTGTTCTGAGCTCCAGATTACAGTTCCAATGGTTTCTCAACCAGCTCCACCCACAAATCCTAGAACCATTTCAAATTCAACTGGATTCAACAAGTGTTACCTTAACTCTCTCAGGCTCCTCTGTTACTATTTCTATCAATGATTCCAACATCCACCTGTGTCATCTTTAACTCCACCCTTTCATGTTTTCCTATTTCAATCCGTTGCCAGTCCCTTCATTATACTTCTATAATCTTGATTGCATAGTAGCCCTGGTGGCGCAGTGGTTAAGAGCTTGGATGCTAACCAAAAGATCAGCAGTTCAAATCCACCAGCTGCTCCTTGGAAACCCTACAGGGCAGTTCTATTCTGTCCTATAGGCTCACTATGAGTCAGAATCGACTCGACTGCAACGGGTAATGGGTAATCTTGATTGCATCCACCCCTTATTTCTCCTTTTCCCCATGTTTCCTATTTTCACTACCATCTACCCAGTTGCTCAAGACAGAAACCTGAGTATTACCCTTGATTCCTCCCTCTCCTCATTCACTACATTCAACTTTTCTTGAAATTATCTCCAATGTTTCTCTCAAACACGTCCACTTCTGTCCCCAGGCCGCCACACTTCTGGCTTAGATTGTGGCAATGATATCCTAACTGGTGTCCCAGCCTCGATATTAACCATTGTGGATCCATTCTTAATCCTTAGCCACAGTAATCTTTCTAAAATGTTTCTAAAAACTCTTCAAAGGCTTCATTTCTCCACAAGATCAAGTCTGAATTCTTTGGCCTGGCTTAGAAAATCAGAATAATCTGGTCCCTGCTCGTCTTTCTAGCATCCCCTTAAATATTTTATGCTCTAGCACAGGGAACACCAAATTCAAAGCACTTATAAGGGCCAGGCACTTTAACTAACCTGGTGCTTAAACAAAACTGGTAGGTAGAGAACAGCGTTCACACAGCTCTAGCTGATTACTGCCATGGGGGACTTTGAGCTCAACGTTGCTAGATTCTTTTTAACTTTATTAGAGCCAGAAATGCAGTTTCTTGGGATCAAATTTCATTATTTTTCCAAAGGTTGGCCACTAACATTAAGTTCTTAAAAATACTTTGTGAGTGATGGAAAAATATGGGAATGGAGAAGAGTGATGGTTGAACATGATGAAGATAAGTTGTCACTGAACTGTACATGTGAAGAATGTTGAAATGTTTTGTTACATATATCTATCACAATTAAAAAAACAAAAAAACTGTGGGTTAAACAAAACATGTTTGAGGGGCTGAATTTGGCTCAGTCACACTGTTTTACTTGCAATTCCCCAAGAGAATTTTCTCACCTTTAGGCCTTTGTACATGCTATGGCCTCGAACACTGTTCTCTTCATACCCTTTCACTTGGCTAATTTCTACTCTGTTAGGTTGCAATTGAAAAGTCAATTCCCGCAGAAAGCTGTTCTTGACCCCAGAGTCTCAGTTAAGTAACTCTCCGAAGTGCTCCCCTGAGAACTCTGTACTTCCCCTATCATCAAGTACACGAAACTGCACAGAAACTGCCTGTTGGTTTGATCTACTCTGGGAGGCCAGCAGCAGGTCTGTCTTATTCAAAGCAACTAGCATGGTGCCTGGCACTCAGCTGGTGCCTTAATAAATTATTGGGTTATTTTTGGTCTCCTAATTGGTCCCATTTACACCCAGCCTTAAGGAGCCATGATGGCACAGTGGTTAAGAGCTATGGCTGCTAACTGAAAGGTTGGTAGTTCAAATCCACCAGCTGCTCCTTGGAAAGTCTACAGGGCAGTTCTACTCTGCCCCATACCCAGCCTTATCCTATTCTAGGAGCCCTGGTGGCGCAGTGGTTGAAGCATTCAGCTGCTAACCGAAAGGTTGGCAGTTCGAACCCACCGGCTGCTCCACAGGAGAAACACGTGGCAGTCTGCTTCCGAAAAGATTACAGCCTTGGAAACCCTATGGGGCAGTTCTACACTGTCCTATAGTGTTGCTACGAGTCAGAATCAACTCAGTGGCAACGGGTTTGGTAACGAGTCTGGTTTATCCTCTTCTAATCCATCTTCCATACTGGTGTCACAAATATTTTTAAAACGCAATGCCCTGCTCTAAAACATTCAATGGCTCCCCATTTACAAAAGAAAAGATTTCTAAATTCCTTGACATGGCAATCAAGGAACTTCACCAAGTCCTTTTCCAATCTAATTCCCCATGCCTTCTTCCATGAATAAAATACTCCAAACAAACTGAACTCTTCCTCAGCAAGACCTACAGAACTTCCCACATTTGCTCATGCTCTTTCTACTAACTGAAATTAGTCCCTTATCCCAAATCTCTGAAGGACACAGACTGGCCCAAAGCCACATCTTTCACAAAGTAAAAGCAAATCTTGCTGTAATAACCCAACTTCATATCAGGCCTCAAAGTCCCAAGAAATATGATCTCACAGTCAAAAATTATAAACCACACAAGGAAACAAGGCACCAGGAGTAAGAGCCGACAGAAACAACAAATAGCAGAATAAAACCTACAGAGACTTTAGACATGTTCAAATTAAAGAGAATTGCATTACATTTCTCTATACCAGTAAACAACTAAAAAATAAAATTTTAAAAAGATACAATTTACAATAGCATAAAAAATCAAGTACTTGGAAAACTATCTAATGAAAGACAAGTATGACCTTTATGGAGAAAATTATAAAATCTCAAATACCCATCAATAGTAGGATGAGTAAATTGTGGTATATCCTACAATAAAATACTACATAGCAATTAATATGAACAAGCTACAGCTACACACATATAATGCATACCACTATATAAATCCATTTATATCAAGTTCAACAAAATTAAGCTATATTGTTTAGGGATGCTTCATAGATAGCACAAATTCTCTGACTCTACTAGCCACCTGGAGCTAGGGCAGATCTCACATTTTAAAAGGACACCATCCTTTAGACTGCCAAATAGGCAGATGCCAGCTGCAAGTTTGGGAGTCCACACAAAACCCTCATTTTCACCTGCTGGCTCCCCCTTCTCCTTTGGGCTCAATAATTTGCTGGAACAACTCACGGAACTCACAAACAGTATTATACTTACATGTATAGATTTATTACAGCAAAAGAATCCAACTCCCAGGGTCATCACACGGGCAAAGTTTGGGAGGTTCCCAATGCAGAGCTTCCATGTCCCAAAGGACAAGCTACCCTCTCAGACACATGGATGTCTTTTACCAACCAGGAAGCTCTCTAAGCCTTCATGTTCTGAGTTTTATTGGCCAGTCCTGCATGAGAGGCTAAATCATGCCACCTGAGGCTAGCTAATATCAGCCTCCCAGGTGTGTCTTCTCTGGTCTGGCCGGTCCCCACTCACCAGCACAAATCTCCAGGTGTGGCCCGGAAGTCCCAGACCAAAGCACCGCAATTACTCAAAGGGTTATTTCTAAGGAACCAAGGACAAAGCCCACTTCACTTTGGGTAAAACTGAATTCTTTACCCCACAGATGCATATTTAAGTAGTTAAATTATGATGAAGCACA